TCTCTATATGTACGCACACGTCGTCGCTCGAGCTTTTTTTCCCCAATATATAAGTATATCGTAAAGCGCCTGGAGGCTATTGGACCTTCGATAGGTCTACAAGCTATTTTTGCTCTCGTTTTTTTCTTCTCGGAGCTCGTATATACCGATGGCATACATATTTACGCACGCGTACACACACTGCGTACGGACCAACAAATACTGCAGTTGACAATAAATTTCGAGGTATAAATGCAAACCAACGTATACGAGACTATATATGTAGCTGTGAAAGTTCCGCGTGAAAATCAGCGACGCGTAGCGCTGCGCACATTCAGCTCGCGAAAAAGCGTGACACGAACGACGACACGGCCGATGGTTATACGTGTATACATTTTTGGAGAATGCAACAGCAGCAGCTGCAACGACGATCAAACTCGAAGGGGGTCCTTGATATAGTCTACAGGAAGGATTCGTTTTATCGATCTACTGCACGAATTTGAGACACACACACACACACACACAAACTCGCGCGTTATCCCTCGCCAGGAGAGAGGTAATCGTATATCTTCTCCTCTCTCAACTCTCTGTCTCTCGTCACTGCGGAATAACGAGTATTTCATGAGCCATTAAAGGCGGGGGTGTTGAATGTCCAGTATTTCTCTCTCATACACTACGTGAGACTGTAAGTTTGTGGGTGTGAGTATACGTGTGTTTACATTTACCGACGACGACGACGACGACGACGACGCCCTTTGCCCACTTCGCCCACACTCGTCAGCTCGTCAATATTGGTATTTTCCCCTTACTCTTACGCGTATACGTGCGTGCGTATGCGTGCGCGATCCATTTCATTTCGTTAAGGCTTCGGAGACGCGTATAAAATTGATTAATATTTTTTTGCCCCCTTTATAATTTTTCGTCTACTCGTCATTGACTACCGCGAATGACTGCGGGGGCTACTGTACTCGTGCACACAGGTACACGCACGCACTTTAGGCTATACTAATATACTCGTGAGAATTTTTCTCTTTGCCTATCGTACTCTCCGCGTATATGTAAATCAAAAGCTGCACATCTCGCAAAAGACTGTGATTATTCGCGATACGATGACCTACATCGAGTTTTTATAACTTCCCTTTTTTTTGTCAATTTTTTTTTGTCAATCTCTCAAACGGCGCACGAAAAATCAAAATCGGCCCGTATTAATACATACGTTTCTCGATTCTTTTTCTTCGTATTCTCGTATTCTCGTATATGTCATAATAAAGAGGTGAAAGGGGTAAGTTTCAATTTACGAACCGTCGACCGCTGATCCCGATTTTTTTCCTCCCACCAAAAATCATTTCGATTCTAAAAAAAAAAGCCTAAGACCGATCGAAGGCACGCGCGCGTGTTACAGCGGGGATATATCTGCACGCGCGGATCGGAAAGCCAAGCCAGGGGAAAATTTATCCTTATTTTTCCTGTATTATTTCAACGAGAAGGGGGGGGGGGGAGAAAGGGAGGAGAGGGATGAAATCTATATCTATCCCCGAGCCTTAGCGGGTAATATATAAATCCAACCATCGCGAAGCCTCGTCTGCGCGCCGATCGGACTTAACGCGCGCTAGTGAGCGTATATAAGCGAGGTATTTTTCTTCGAGGTAAATCCTCCAAGTGTCTCTTTTTCTCATCGAATGCGCGCGTTGCAAAATAAATGACTTATGTATTTTCGCTGCGTACGGATTTCGAAAGTGCAATCCTTTCATTAACTGGTCTATGCCGACCAGACACTCGTCTTTTTGACCTTTTTGTTACTCGATCTTGACAGAGACAAGAAAAAATGTATGCATTCGAGAGTTATTAATAAAACGGCTTATCTAAAGCAAGGAGTTTGTACACAGTACATCATAGAATTGAATAATACACAAGCACACACAAAGCCTCCCACGCGCCATAACTAATCAAGTAAACCCTTGAGAGACTTCATCTCGGATATAATATTAATATATAGGGTAAACACAAGGCAAGGCTGATTCGATCTCGCGAGAGACAGAGAGAAAGGCAAGGGTTATCGCTCATCGATCGAGAGGCTTGCTGCTTGATGCATTAGCGATAACCTTGAAATTAATGAGAGCTCCTTTACATATGTATCGGATATCGAATTACGTCGCGAGTCGTTAATTTTTCTTCTGCTTGTATACATGTATTTCTCAGCTGAGGGCGAAAATCGAATTCGAGGAACCCCCCCGGAGGTGTATTACAGCCAGGCCTCTGTGTAAAGGTCAGTAACGTGCACGACGCGATCTGAATTCTCAATGAAGCGATGCCGCTATTTTTGTAATGTATGTGGAGGAGGTTTCACGCCGAGAAGATGTTGACGAATGGTGTAATGTATTCGTTGATTTCGAAGATATCGGAAGAAATTTCTTGTACTTTTCCGTAACGCGTAACTTTTACAGATGCAGGAGATCGATAAAAGTTTTTGTTGAAAAGATGTGTATCAGATATTTAAAAAAAAAAAAAAAAATAAATGAATCAGTAAAATAAAAAGATAATTCTTTCTTTCACTGATTTTGAAATAACTTTGAATCAATGCTCCGTTCAAAAGCAATTTTGCCTGAAGTAACAACTACAAATTATACGCGTTAAACTGATTTAAAAAATGAAAAGTTGGGAGTAGAAGATAAAAAACTGACAATTTATGATTAAAATAAAATTTATCCAAAAACTCATAGCCATACCGACAATGAGAGAGATTTGAGTCCAACCGGTCCATCGTGGGACTAATACGACTCGTACAGCAGCAGGTGTTTACGGGGGTATCTATCATTGCGTTGGCGTGGATTGAACATATTTACAAAATCGAGTAGCGCGCAAAACGATGCGTGTAGTTTGATGCATATACGTATACATTCGGTATAATATGCATATAAGCACGAGTTACACAAGAGCAGCTATCAGCATCGTGCAGAGAGAGAGAGAGAGAGAGAGCACAGCTGTGTACTATATGCTGCATGTCTACATGTATACTATATATATGCGAGAGAATTGAGTCAAGTAAAGAGTCAAGCGCGCGTAGAGGCTTAAAATGTGTCGTAAGGCGCTCCCGTGTATACACGCGTTTTTATATACCTACTTCCGCGCCCGCACTTTTCCTCTCGCTCGCTCGGCTACATCTATATAACGCATATATAAATGCCGGGGGCAAATTGCCACGACCTTAAGTGTCCCTACCATCGCGCTCCCAGCCACTCAACGACTAATTTGGCTATTTCGACGGCGAATATAAAAAAAGCTCCATCCACCGAGGATATAAAATGCGCGCGGGTCGTGAAAAAAAAACCTAGCAGTAGGAAAAAATAGCTCTCTCTCTCGCGCTCGCGTCGATCGAGTTGATGTATACGATTATATTACTACGGACGCGCGAAATTCGATCGAATTGCGCTGCTGCACAGCAGCATCGTCTCTTCCGTGACCCTTCCAGCGCTCGCGCGGCCCGAAATGATATAAATAAGTAACGCGCCGCGGGGTCTCGCTCGACGTTGAGTTGCGCTACTGAAAAACTGCGCGCAGCACTGAATGAGTGAGAGAGAGAAAAAACATTAACGTTCGTAAAATATTTTTAATGGCTTTTAAATCGCAGCATAATAGGCGAAATTCGGCGATAAAAAAGGGGTCTATTTTTAGAACAGTTTTATAATAAAATTAAATGCCAAATTGAAATCGAACGTATCGTCGATCTTTTTAACGAAAAAGAAAAAAAAAATTTCTCCGCGATTCCTCTGTATAAATTTCAATCGATCGAATCGGGGCCGATTTCGCGTAAACAATTCCCACGTCGTCGTTTGTACTTTGTTAAGATGCGCGTGCGATGTTATGTATCGTAGGATTTTGCCTTGACGTACAGTAGTAGCGGCCCAAGTCCGGTCGGACGTTATACGTATGTACACGATGATGACGACGATGACGACGACGCGGCCTTGACAGTAGCACACGCGGCTATAACAGCGAGAGAGAGAGAGAGAGAGAGAGCATTAACCAGTAAGCCGAGTACAAACACACGCATATATAATATACATATCGACGCAGCCGTATACGTAGTCATCCCTCGCGTCCAGATTTGTTATATATAATACAATCTATAAAAGAGATCGTAAACGACGCGCCGAAATGGCGAAACGCGTATATAACAACGCACGCAGCGAAATAGTAAACGCGCCAGTGATATATTCGTCTAGATCCTGAATATATATCGCGCACGTATTGTAACGAATACAGTGCGGTGTATATGTATGTATATATAGGCTGACGAAAATGTGTGCTGCGAACGAAGAGAGAGAGCGAGAGAGAGAGAAAGGTGCACATATCTGACTGTCCTATTTTCCGCGCGTCGGCCTCGCATGGCCTCTTTACCTCCCTTGCACTCGCTCTCTCTCTCCGATATATACATGCAGCTCTCGCTTGTGTGCTGCACTTACATTGCATATGTGCTGTGTGCTCTCTCTCTCTGTTCGCACTCGCGGAGCGCGCCTCCTATATACCTACTATTATCCTTTCGCAGCGAGAAAGAGAGGCTTTTTCGAGAAAGCGAGCACGCAATGGCAAAGGGACACCTTTGAGTACCGAATACATATTTTGTTTGTTTGTTTTTTTTTTTTTTTGTTGGTATGATAGCGAGTCGACGAGTTCAACGACATAGCGATCGCCACCGAGATAATACGTGTTCGGAGCAACAAAAAAAATTAAAAAATATAACAGTCATGGCATGGGACTGTAGAAAAAAAGTAGGTATATAGCACGAGAGGAGCCCGAGAGAGAATGAGAAGAAGAAGGCAAGGAGTTGGTACGTGCGCGATAATGCCTGCACACAAACACGACGGAGTGTCAGTGACTCGTGTGCATGCCGCAGTGCCCCGCTCCGGACTATATACCGCGAGAGAGGAGAACAAGAGGAGATATATACTTTTTCGCTTTTTTTTTCTTTCTTTTTTTTTTTTTTTTTGGACAAGCTGTAGTCGCTAGTAGCTCTAACTAACCTTGTTGGATCTTAATGAGACCTTGCCGCCGCAGCGGGCGCAGCACCTGACGCTGCAGTAATTGCAGATGTGGCCGACGCCGTCGGCGAACTTCGTCTTGAGGCATATCTCGCAGGTGGCCTCCAGGTCGCAGGCCGGATTCTTGAGCATCTCGCTGCGCGTACGCGCTATCGTCTCCTCCAGTTTCAGCACCTCGGACTCCTTTCGCCTTTATTTTCCGTTTTTGGATGATGCAGAAATGAAAATTGTATCTTTCGTTATTATCATTGTTTTACAGAATTAAATTTTTTTTTATCCAAAACTACATTTAAATACGTTTAAACTAGTTGCACAGACTTCTTTTTTGACCGAGTCAAATGAAACTCGTGTATCTCGGTAAAAGAAGCTGTGCTGCGGCAAAACATGTGCGCATATAGATAATATGCAAGAGCCATGCGTGTGATAAGTAACACAACGAATAACAACAACGTGTCGCGATCAAGTAAGTTTTCTGCTGCGGCAGACACACAAAAAAATTATACAATCGTTCCTTACATATTTCCACTTGTTTGATTTGGCAAGTGTGTGTGTTGTGGCTGCGAGTCTCGCTCGCGCTACATTAGCTATAGTGGTACAGATATATCGGGCTGGTACTACTACTACTACTACTACTACTACTACGATATTATCGTTATATAGTGGCGGCGCGTTGGCACGAACGAGAGAGCCCCGTTGTATATTACTCGGGTGTACACACACACACATACACATCTATGTAGCAGACAGCGGTGTTGCGTGTACTTGTGACTAGTACTACTGTTATACTACTGTACAAAAAGACGTCTGCTCGCTGCCGCTGTGTGTGCGGGTGTATGCGTGCGTCTGCGATAATACGTCACAACGCACACACATCGTCGATCGTGACACATTATATTATCGGGATAAAGGCGGAAAGAGAGACGGAGAAAGAGTAAAACTGTTGCGTTACTCGGCTCATATAACGTTGCATCTCTCTCTCGGTCTCTCTCTCTCTCTCTATATCTTGACCGTGTGCGCGTGAATGAATTAAAAAACGAAAAAAGATATCTGATCGAGCTCACCTCAAAATTTCGCTCTGGTTCTCCTCCTCCTGGCGCTGCCTCATCATGACGCTCTCTATGTGGCGTCTCTCCTCGGGCGTGAGGTGCGACAGGTCCGGCATTATTTCGTCCATCATGATGACTTGTACGACGACGCGCCGCGCTCGTCGTGCTTGCTTTTTTTACGAAAAAAACGTCCGCACTCGCGAGGCAGCGGACACCGATTCTACCGCGACGTCGTCGTCGAGGAGCAGTCGAGGAGCTGGTGATGTCGGTGGTCGTCTCGTTGCCGAGAGCAATGATAACGATGTGGCTGTCGGCGGCGGTCGAGCGTCGACGACGATGCCGGTGGTCGCGACGACGACGACAACGAAGAATTTTCCGCTGCTGCAGAAAGCCGCAGAGACTACGGCGACGACGAAGATGCGGTGGAGGTTGATGTGCTGTTGTTGTTGCTGTTGTTGTTGCTGTTGTTGGCCGCGGCGGCGACAGCAGCTGCAGCAGTTGCAGCAGCGACGACGACGACGACGACGATGATACAGGCCCGCGCCGCACTCGCCTCATCCGAATCATCCAGCCGATGTGGCGCGGGCCCGCTCGATTCTTCCGTGCTGCTCTGCTACTGTCGTCGCCAGCTCCTTCGTCTGCTTCCGTTCGTCGTTTATTACTCCGCTGCTCGCTACTACTACAAGTTTGACGATTATTAACCGCCGCAGTCGTTGGTCGTCGTCGTCGTCTTGGGTATCAATCGGACGAGTCCTCCTCCTCATCGCCACCTGCAGCAGCCTCGAGGAGTAGCTACAGTGGTACAAGCCGCAGCGGCGGCTCAGCGCCTCCTCCGACGACTGCGTCACCCGAGTTCCCTCGTGGTTGTTGTCGTTGTCGTTATTGTTATCGCTAACGCCACTACTCGACTGCTCGGTCACTGTTGAATATTGTCGCTCTGCCTGACTGCTGCTGACACTGCTACTGCTGCTATCATGCGTTCGAGCCATATTACGATTCTTGTCGAGGGCTGACAGCGACGACGACCGCGAGGCGCGTCTCCATGCTTTTTTTTGGCGTGACAGAGCGCAGCCTCGAGCTTTTTTTAATTTTTTTTATTAAAACACTAGGTTATTACGCTATTTTTATCATTATAACGTTAGGTATAAAAAAAGGGGGGTCCTCGATCTCTCGACGAGGACTCAACTTGATATCGATGTCGATGCACACCCCCGCGCACTGCTTCTTGTCTTCTTCGTATACACACGTACACACACACGCGTTCGCTGCACAGAATTCCGCGCACTCCAGTGTACTACTACCAATGCTGCTCCTAGCCTATATATACTCGACTCCTCGACCGTGTGCTCCTCCGTCACTCACTGTGTTATATACTACGCACGACGGCGACGATGACGATAAAAATGTCGTTGCGTAGACTCGTAGTAGTAGTAGTAGCAGCAGCAGCTCTCGGTCATCGCTACTATATACGCGATGATATATCACGCACACGAGCTACGACGATAACGCCGAGGATCACATATCCGCGCGACCACTATACTCGCACTACCACCACCACCACCACCAATATGAAGGGCTCTCTCTCTCTCTTCTTCGCTCGTGCTGTCTCTCGTAACGCGAACACTGACTACTGCTACTGCTGCTGCTGCTGCTTTTCTGTAGCCGAGACTCTCTAGGCGATTGTGTGTTTGTTACGTGTGTGTGTGTGTGTGTGTGTGTATGCACTGAAAACAGCAGGCCCGTGTGTATATAAACTCTGTCGTGCTCGCGCGTATCGCTGCACACGAGTTCTGCACTCTCTCTCTCTCTCTCTCTATACTCGTCCGATGTATACAGACGACACTATATATATCGTACTGTGTTGCTGCACAGTGCACGGGACAGAGTGCAGTTTACGTCGCGTATATACTATATACTACTTACGGCGCGCAGAGCAGTCAACTCTCGCCACGAACGCGAAAAATTTCGCTGCTCCTTTTTCTAATACGGAGCTTTTTTGGCCGCACGATGATCCTCTCGAGCACACACACGTTGTTATAACGTTGTTACGGCATCTCGCTGCTGCTACTCGTGCCCCGTGATGATGTACTCGCGTTCAGAGTTTTCTGACTCGTCGCCGCCACCGCCGCCGCTGCTCGCGCACCATATCTAATCTATACCACCTTTTTTCCCTGCACTCGCTCCGTGCGCGCAAGCAGACACACACGCAGGCCAACACACGTATATTATCATATATATATATACACACAACAATAATTGCGATTTGCCAAGTGAGCTGGTTTATAAAAGGTATAATATAAAGTGGTGGTGCTGCTGCTCTGTGCTCTCACTGCCTGCCTTGCCTGCCTGCTAAGCTTGCGCGCCTCCTCGGTCGTTGGAGCGGAAGCGGCCCGACGCGCAGTCGCACCAGCACCAGCACCAGCAGTCAACCCCTAGGTGTATATACCTTATAATACCTACCGTAATACAACGGCAGCTGCTGCTGCTGCTGCTACCCTCGCGCGACCCCCCTCGAGGCGAAAACGTATACATAGGAGAGATAGATATTGCCGCGGCGCGTCGACCGTGGAGATCGCGCGCTACTATACGCGCGATTCAGTTCGGAGTTGGCGCCCCAGTCCTACGGACACTGCACTGCACAGTACGCGTCACGATATATCAAGTAGTTCGAGTCAGTCCATGATGCAACTGTAACGGATCGCGCGCGTTCGAATTTCAAATCGGGCGCCGCTCGCTGCACGTTCTTTTATATAAGATTCTCGACTCGCGAGATTCCAAATTCGAAATGCAAGCTTACATTTCCTTACATTAGCCGTTTTCGGTTTTAATGTATCGCTTGCGTGATTCTTTTTTTGAATAAATCGGAGCGCGACTACTTTGCAGTAGTAGTAGTAGTACGAAAGAACCGTTGAGAGGACCTATCTATACATATAACGTTTTGTTATAAGGAACGTCGGCACACGTACACACACACAGATACTGCACTCACACATACATACGTGTACGATACGGAGCAATGGGCGTGGGCTTGCGTCACACTGCGCGCCGATCGCTATATGTACGCTACTGTCGGTGTTGGTGTTACTCGTATATCTATATTCAGCTTGTGTATACACAGAAGCAGCGTACACTACACACACACACACATTCGCACTTTTATTGATCGGCTTTTGCGCGCCGACGACCGAATCTTCGGTTATACCGTATAGATACAAACGCGTTTACGACGATTGTTATATGTATTAGACCCTATCTGTCCGTGTATACGTGTATCTGTCTCTTTTACTTATACCTATATAGGTGTGTATTTCTTATTGCGGAGCGTCGACCGCGCGCGCGCGGCCAGTTAAACGCAGCGCCGATACAGTCCATGCGAGGTTGATCCATTGTGTGCTGTATAAGAAAGGATGTACAAAAAAGGGCTCGAGCTTCTACATTTTCAGCATCAGCTGATAAGATATTATGCACCTATACATAGGAGATGACTCGCGACCTCTGTCACCCCCGCGGGAGGCTCGTTGAATTGATGCTGCTGAATTATTCTCAGATTAGAGGCGAATAGGCTCGACCGGCTGCGGCTGCGCTTGCGCCCCCCCCCCCCCTGATATTTTATTCCACCGACAAAAAAGTGGATGAAATAAATAAAAACACAATGCCTCAACTGAGAAATCGTCGAGTTTATGTATTCTAATAAATTCTTACCAGTCCGAGTGACTCGTTTGTACGGAGCTCGATCGTCACTCACAAGTCTGTATAATTACATTATAATTTCTAGAAATATACGAAGTGGAACGAACGATGGGAAATCGTTGCAAATGAAATTTCGACGACAAACTTTTCCATCCTTCGATTTAATCATTTTATTAACGAGTCGATCGACAGAAAATAATAATAATAATAACTTGTTCCTCTGCTCGCGTATACATACTTATAATTGAAAAACGATGCCACCGCATAGATTCGTTTTAATGGAATTTTAGCGAGCTTTCGTCGGAGATCGAATTACAAATACGCTGTGCATATTATAAATAAAGATCGCTCTCGCGCGCACACACACACACACACACACACACACGGAACAATTGACTTTGCGAGTTATAGAGAAAAATTTTTCATTACGCAGTTTGAAAAAATGCTCTTTTATTGCACTAGCTTCTCTAAGCGAAGCGAACGAGTGTCATTTTTTTTCTGGTAGAAATTGTCATGATTATACATTAATTATACATTAAAAAAAGATATAATTAACGGTACACAAACATCCGGACGAATGTGTATTTACAAGTATAAATCGGTAATCGGTTGCACAATGAGCGAACGGTTTCATTTGATATATTTATATAAAAAAAAAGTATCCTTAAAGTCTATTATCGACGTATTTATAAATTCTAAATACAATGGCATATATACATAGAAAACAGCTTTTTTTTTCTCCGCTAGTTGGCTCGACTCAGAGTCGACTATATAGATCGTACAGTTTGTTTTTTCTATAAAGAAATAATAAAAAATCATCGCGATTGGCAAAAAATTTTATGTACAAATATTTATGTAAATCGCCGAAAAACTCGCTATGGCATACTGTTTACAGTTAGAGAGCTCTCGTTCCCGAGTCTATTTACAATTTATTAACAATCGTTTTTTTGTTACTTAATTTTTTTTCTCTCAACAAGACTATCAACGAATTTAAAGTAACAAGGACAATAACAAACGATATCATCCATTTATTGTCTCAAGCACGTCATAATAGTTTTGTCAGCGTATTTGCTTGAGTCGAATTATATATAAAGATTATATAAAAAAATATTATTAACATAGCAGCATTAGCACTATGGTTATACAGAATTACATGATTACACCTATTTACAGACAAATGTATACAATTACGAAGCGTAAAAAAATGCGTTACGCACAGTTAAACTGTATTTACGGAACATTCAACTAAATGGCTCGCGGGTCATTGACTATTTATATTAAATATTTTTTCACGATCGTTCCGATCGTGTCAATGTTTCAACAGGTCCGAAAAAGTCTATCCAATCACTGGCAATATAATAATCATCGTCAACATTTATATATACTTGAAACATTTCTGTTTGTCGTGAGGAATTCTCGTTTTGAAAAGTACCGAATCGGCACGATATTGCGTAGTGAGTAATGGCATGTAGCCAAACACCTGTGAATAAAATTGAACATGTGTAAACATTTCAAATCGTCATATTCGTGCAATCGGCAAGTTTACGAATACTCACTTGTGAAAAGAAATTCATGCATTTGTGTCTTTCTTGGAAGTGCGAGTCATCCTCGGACAGCGATACCGGGCATCCTGGGCATCGGAACGTCCAGCGCGACGTGACCTGGAAATATTTTCGCAATCGCATTAGGAAACATTTTTGATATTTTATTTTCAACGCTAAATGAAAAATTTCCTCCTTACCTTGACAGGGGGTTTACGGGTGACGTGCGAGACCAAGAAATTCATCGCTATGTCCTCGCAGTTCATGTACTCGTCGACCTTGTCCCTTATGGCTTGGGGCAACCAGTGCGTGTAGAGATATGTATAGTGCTTGTGTATGAAGGCTGCGCCCGTCAGTATCATCGACAGCTCGCACGAGTAATTCGAGTTGTAGTTCCACGAGTTGTGATTGTTCTGATCCCAGTTGTGGAAGCGCGCCGGGAAGCCCACGACTCGGTCGCGATGCTCTCGCCAGACCCTGAAGCCGAACATGATCTCGTCGTGGCGCAGGTGGGCGTCGTCGTCCACGGACAGCACGGCCTCCGTCTCGATGGCGTCAAACGGCAGAAATCGATTGTTCAGGCTGTTGCGCTTGGTCTTCACGACGATTATCGGCACGCCGATGTCGGGCCACCTCAGGTCCTCCACGGGCGGCTTGGGACTGTTCCACACCACGATCACCTTGTTCAGGTAGGGCAGCCCGTACAGCCGAGCCAGAGAATTGATGAGGACCTGCTCGCGCTCGTAGGTCAGCATGACCACGGTGAACTGCTCACGCGGATGATTGCCGCCCAGCGCCTGGCTGAACTCCTTGCCCGCGCCACCTGCTCCCTTGCCGATCGGCCTGAAGCCCAACTCCGAGCCTGATGAGAATATTAGAGAAATGTAATCATGAATCTAATTAATTGAGCTCGAACGCGAAGTGCCCAAATTTACCGATGTGTTTGGCGTCACTCGGAAGAACAGTATCGAAGGGTAGGTGAGGATACAGATTGAATGGATCCACCCACTCGTTCCAAATCTCGTGACCCTGTACCAATAACGTGGTGTAGTTGCGCCTGTAACTCGGGGATGGATATGGCGGTTCGAGTGGACCCAAGCTTTCCTCGCCCACGTTATCTTGAACTATTGTGTCCGATCTCAAAGGCTGAAAAAAAATTCAATTTATTAATTTCGAGTAAACTTTGCTAGCGTGACTGCGATCGTTTGTACATACCACAAAGGATGAATTGAAAACACTTATACTAGGCGTTTCTGGAGCTGGCCTCGGAGGTATTCCCAGTCTGTCTCTGATAACGGCGACTATCGTATCGACGACGCTTTGCGCGGTACCGAAGTATCGCTCCCATACGAGTCTTCCCTGTCGTCTCATCGTCAGCAAATCGTTATCGGGCACGGCTCTCAACATGAAGTGCATCTCCGTAACTCTAGCCTGTAAACAATACCAATGTTAAATATCGCGAAAATGATTCAATAAAACCTATAGCCGGAAAATTACCTTGGGTAAGAATATGGCGGCTCTTCTCCAGGCGACGACCTCTTTGTAGCTCAGGGCGACGCGATCGCCGCCGAGGATCACCGGTATGGCGCCCGATCTCAGGGCCTCGTACAGGCGAGCCTGCATCACGGCGGTGGACAAGAAGCTGACGTTGCTCGGCGCCAGTATCAGGGCGAAGGTGGACTCTCGCAGGATGGATTTTCTGGACGACTCCGTGCCGCAGAGCGACCAGTCGAGCACCTCGTTCGAGCGCTTCTCCTCCGAGGCCGGCACGCACTCGAACTGAATGAAAAATTTGTCCGACGTCGGGCCGCTGCTCATGTCCTTCAAGTGCTGAATGATGAACATGTCCAAATTATTTTCGTCCATCGATGCTCGCTCGATGTCGAGCTCGGCGTCGTCTATGATCTGATTGGTCGTGGAAAGAATTTTCATGGCCTTCATTTCACCTACATAATGATAGAAATTTTTTACTTTTTTACAACAGAGTAATTATTATAATATTTTACAGTACAGCATCTTGAATGTACCTTGAAAAGAAAGCAAAAACTTTCTTCGAGCTGGCAGCATATGAGCACACTCTGACCATACGTCACCACCTGGAGGGCCTAATATAGGAGGAACAACTAGATCAAATCCCTCGCGAAAGCGTTCTCGAAAGAACGTTGATTGCACTACTATAGCTCTGCCTGTATCAACGCTGTTTAACAATGCTCCTGAATCGGCAGATAAATCACGTCGAGCAAGGTTCAATAAAATATGGTTTCTGCCATCACCGCCCCAATAAGGAAGCGAGTGCAGTTTGCTAACACTCAGTGGTCCTCTAGAATTATTAGCCTTGTAAGAAGATGTCAGTGCTTCACCGACAAGGACAATGTAGATACATGCTTCAGCTGGATCATTTGTTAGATGTGGGTTGTAACCTACAATCATAATTCAATATTACAATTGAATATTCAGTATTACAATTATGAAAATATATGTAAAAAAGCAATAAAATTTTTAATCAACATACCTAGCGTCTGCTTTATGTAAATTTTTAAAAAACCATCTATATCCCATCCATCATTGACGATAGGAAAGTCTTCAGGATCATACAAATATACTGGAAAACCACTTGTTAAAGCACAGCGACTGTGATCAAAACAGTTAAACATTCTGCAGTTTTTGGAGTTGGAGTGGAAAGGAGTGTGTTCTGGAACATATTCACTTATTATTCTTTTAGGTGCTGCTAGTTCAGGAGTATTTCTTTCTACAGCTTCACGATGAGATTCTTGAGCTTGAATAACACTAATTTTCAATCTTTCTAGCTCCATTGTCTGATGAGTCACTTCTTGTTTTAATTCATCAATTTGTTGAGTCAAACTGCTGACTTCATGGTGGAGTTTGCGACGCTTTGTTTCAAGATCTTTGAGTTCATTGTTAACTGATGTTTTGATTCTCAACATTTCTTCTATGCGAGCTTTTAACTCGACTGCAGACTTGGCTGAAAAGTCTTGAAATGTTTCTAGTCTGGAGCGCGTTTGAAATACATCTAGGTGCCCGCTTGCTTCCACCTATAATAGTAATTTTATTAAAATTAAGTTAAATAAAGAAAATTTCAACGCTTTAAAATTTATTCTCATGCACTGTTCAGCTAATTTGACAGTAAACAAACAAATTGAACCTCACCTGTGATAGATAGTAATGAATGAAAAGTGGCAGTATACAGAGGCATGCCAAGGCAATTACTATGGCTCTTGGTAATTTTGCTCTGGCTAACCATACTGCGAATTCTCGGCCGGCTTGATAAGCTGGATTCTGATGCAGGTGATGATTGAGATTATTATTGCCACCTTCGACGCCGCCGATCACCGTCATCGTACAAGTTGGTCATTAACTTAGCACCGATTAATTTTCACCTCGTTATCATAGTTATTACTGAACTAAAAAGCGTTGGCCCATTGTTAACACGTCGTCGCAGGACTCGGTTAGATCCTACTCGAGTCTGCAGGACTATAACCGAGCAGAATACTACTTTGTGTTGATGACAAGTGCAGCATCCACCACCACTCCGAATTGCGAACAAGTAGACACTGTGATTGACTGCTAATAGCGCCAACGCCGAACGTGCCAACTTGTGGCGCCACCGAGCGCAAATTTAAATGACACATAGCATAAAGAACTTGGAGTAGAACGGGATATGCGGTATGTTTGGATTTTTTTCATTCATCATTCTTGATAAATTTCATAGCAAATTTATTATCACAGTGATTATCAATACATTTCAATAGAAAACTTAAATAATCAATTAGTTGCTTGCTGCAGTTGATTTAAAATTTCATGTCATTTTACAATTTGAAAGAAATAAATAAATAAAAAATATACTGATTAAGTTGTTTCTCGCCCAGCAAGATTAAAATTCATCAAACTGAAATGATATTGTTTTTTAAATGAAATTTTTACGAACAACAAAATTAATGATATACTTACATCTTCAGCTTTTAGTTCTATATCAGCGGCAGAGAACATAACTTCTTCTTTCATTACATCAACTTTTTGTTGTTGTTGTTGCTGTTGTTGTTGAACCTCCATTTCTTTATCTTTTCTCTGATCAGGATTGTCACTTTTTTTCTTAATTTTACCACAATTTGGAAAAACTGATTCCATGTTATCAACAATTTCTAAGAATTGATTCTTTAATCTGGCAGGAGGTTCCAAAACCTTTTTTATGTATTCGTCCATTGAAAATGCATCATCAGCCTTTAAAGCTCGAGCTGCAATGGTATTCCAATGATATTGTTTATGAACATTTGGAAATATACCTTCTCTTAAATATGCCGGTTCTCTGGAAGATAAAAATATAGGTCAAATGAAATTAAAAAAAAAGTAGTTAAAGGTACATTTTAAAAAACCTACTGTTCAGTGATTGTCATCGAATCTATAAATTGATCCATCGCTTTTATTTTTTCTGAGTTTGCTTCATTCTTTATATAATTTGATTCGACTGCTCTGGTATCATGTCCAAAAGGCAATTCTAAATGAACAAGACACTTAAATAGAAAAATACAGGTATTAGTGCAGGTGAACATTGAAAAAATATTTCAAAAATATATCAGGAAAGCAAAATTACCCAAACAGAATCAGGTTCAGTTTTTGGAAAAAGCACACCCATTTTTGGAGCATTATCATTTTGGTAAACTTTACGTACAATTGCTACATAATTCATTTCAACCATTGCTTTTACAAGACTGTAAAATGCTTTTGCATCATCCTGATAAAATAAACAATATTTTTAAAGCAGTTCAAAAATAATTTGATGACTTAAGTAATATTTACTTCAGTTTCTGGAACAATAATTCTTGTTCCAATTCCAGTCCAATATTCAAGTTTAACATCTTTTTGTAGTGCAAAACCATAAATTTTCATTCCCTTTTCAGTTCCTTTAAACGCCATTTGCATTTCATCTTCATCTAGTAAAAGATTAAAATGACTAATGTCAATTGATTAAATGCAAAATCAAATTTAGCAAAAACCTTACATGCAGAAATCAACACAATCATTAAAAGAATATGAAATTGTTACTTTTTAAATACTATCAAGTCTTTAAAAGCCAACCTGAAACTGGTATATATTTTTGACCAAATTTGTATGCCTTAGTCAATTCAACAGATTCCACCTGGTTTCTAGATTTATCTGATATTGTGACTTCTTTATGAAGATATTCTTTTTTCGGCTCTTCTGCAATATTTTCTACCAATGCATGCATTTTCCAAGTTTCTAATTTTTTGGATTCAGTTATCTGAAAATGTAGATTTGTAGAATTTTTAAACATGAAATTTAATAATATTGGAAATTATTTTTAAACCTTTATGTATGATGCACAACTGATTACGATCTCATCCCATTCTAATGGGAACTTATAAGTCGCTGGATGACTTTGTGGAGGTGTAAAAAACTGTCGACCCTCTTTCATATCATTTATCTCTTCATATTGTACAGCTGCACACTATAATGAAAATTAAATTCAAGATAAAATCAAGTTGTTGATAATAATGCTCAATAAACTACCTGCATTGTCATTGTTTTTGCCATTTTCTCACTGGCTGATTTTAAGTCATCATAGTTGACATTATCATTTAGTGGATTGTCTCCTCTAGAACAAAAGTAAATTTTATTTTTTCCAATATACAAAATATTTTTCAGTACACAATATAAACTTACACCAATATGACATGCAGTTGTTCAAATTCAAGTAGTTGACTTTCTATAGCCTCAATATCATATGGTTCGATTGATTCATCTTTCTCTTTGAAATTGTTAAAGATAATTAGAATACATTTAGCATCAGGATCACTGAAACAATTAAACTATAATGCATAAAAATTCAAATTCACTATATGAACTTGTTTAAAAAAATAATAACTTACCTTATATTTTTTTGTATGAATCCTAAACTGACAAATAAAGCTTCAATCCAATTACAATCATATGGTTTACTTTGTAAGTTATTAATGTAATTTACCATTTCCCAATCAGGAACACGGGAATTTTCTTGGTACAATTTAATATTTGGCAGTTGATCAGGGTTTTCAGTAACATCCTCACCCATTGTTATAATACCGAATTCATCATTTGGCTCTAAAAAGATCTGTATTGACAGAATTTTAAGATTCTGTTATGCAACAATTTTTAAAAATAAAATAAATTTTTACCTTTTTTTGTATCAACATTTTCATAGTAAATTTAGCTTTATCTAAAAAGCTCTCATTGTCTCCAGGAATTTTTTCTGAGCTAGAGCAACCAACATTCGCTACTAAAATGATGTAGCTCTGTAAAAACAAGAATTGTTTCAAACATTAATTTTAGTAAATTTAGAGCAAAGGTTTGATAAATTATAAGATGTTACTACCTTTTGCTTTTTGGGCGGCATTTTGAACGAACTCCTTCTTTTTACGTTCTTTTACAGTGTAAACAAAATATAACGATGAAAAACTCTGGTCTGCTTCTTCTTCTTCTTCTTCTTTTTTTGGCCTTGGAATCTTAATAGATTGCCGGTCTGCCACACTTCATGTTTGGTTGCTCTGGTCTGCTGTTAAAATCAAACACGATATAAACAAAGCAGCAAATCGCGTCGTCTGTCACCACGCCGTCACCTGTGGCGCTCCGTAATCCGAACGCAGCGCTCGATTTTTGCAAGTTCAGACAAGTCTAAATTTCAGTGACTCATTCTCAAATCTCATAATGAAATTATTATAAGTTGAGATAAGTTGAGATAAAAAATATAATAGTTGAACCATGATTTTATTCTTATTCACTTTAAGTCTCAGACGTATCATTCATTGTCATTATGCCATTCCGATATGTTTTCGACCTTCCCAACATTGAAACAATATCTTACAGTAGACAAAAATAATTGTTTATGTTTATTCTGCGGCCAATAATAATTGTGCCCATTGTTTTTGATCTTGAGATACAGTGCAGCAGTTCTATATTCGACATTTTTTCAAAGATTTGAATTTTGTTGTTGTTGATGTAATTGATATAATTTTGAAAAGAAATGATTATTATTTTATGACGAGTAAGCAATTTATGCAAACAAAATTATACCGAATCGTAATAGTTATACCCAGCTCAATCTAGAGCATCAAACTAGTTTCATCATTTCTTAATGTGTCTTCAGAAACGTCTTCAGAATTTTGCATTAATCTTTGTCCTGCTCTAGATTGAGGTAGGAAGCTCCAATCGAACTTTTGAAAGGGTAAAAATTTATTAAAATTTGACAAGGAATTCAAAAAAAATTTTTTCAAATTTTTTCACCGGAACCATCGGGTTCTAGGAACCTTTTTTTGTTAAAAATAGCATTTTTCGGCTCTAGAAGCTATCGCCTTCAATTAAAAAATCTGAAAAAATTTGAGGTTATGTATTTTGATGGAAAAAACAAGAAAAAAATTTTTCGTAGATTTTTCGAGGCTCCGCACCGTCCTAAAAAAATTATTTTCGTCAAAGAAAGCGGTTTTTGGCTTCAAAAGGTGCGTTAGGTAATCTGAGAAAATCTGAAAAAAATTGAGGTTATGTTTTTCAATGCAATAAGAAACTGAAAAAATTTTCGTTTACTATATCGGCTCATATCGCCGTATCTCGATTTTTAAAATTTTCAATGATTTTTTCTGAAGGCCTGAAGCACTTAAAAAATCTGAAAAAATTCAAGGTTGTTTGGATTGTTGAAAAGTATTTTTGTGAATTTTTTCAGATTTTTTAATTGCTTCATATCCTCAGAAAAAATATAGATCGAAAATGGACGTTTATACCGGAAGTGGGGGGTAGGAGTGGGGAGGGGGTCTAAAATTTTTTTTTTGGGACCTTTTTACCATGTACTACAACATACCAAAAGCGCGTCAAGATCAGTGACATACGTGCGCACGGTTTTGTAAAAAAGTATTATTTTGACCCATATACATTTATAATAAGTTTGAGACATTTATATAAAAAATGCATCACGATAAAGATAAATTTGAAACAGTTAAGTCATCAAATTATGTAAAGAATAGCTTCAATAAAATATTATTGAACTTGTAGGAAGGAACCTTCACATTTTTCGTAAATAACTGATCGGTCATGTGAAATTATGGCCCTCATGAGCAAATTGAATGTGGAGAATTAAATTACGATTACATGCAAAATTTGATTCGATGATTGTTGTCACGATATGCGTTACATTTCCTAATTGTACTTTTCCGATTCTATAAATTTCATGGTATGTCAGTGTCAACTACAATTTGATGGACTACATAATTTCTTCTTGCACTTGTCGCACGTCAAGTCTTAATTGACATCGTGGATTTTTTTTTGGTGCATTCTTAAATTTTGCTTAAGCCCGAATTTCTTCTCGCATTTGTCACATGTAAAATCTTTGCGACCTTCGTGGATTATTTTTTGGTGCGAGATCAAACTCGATTTTTGGGCAAATGTCTTATCGCATTTGTCGCATGGATAATCTTTCTGACCTTCGTGGACTGTCCTTTGGTGTAAGAGAAAAGTTGATTTGTATCCGAATTCTCTTCCACACTTGTCGCATACGAAATCTTTGCGACCTTCGTGGACTATTTTTTGGTGTTTCAACAAATCTGATTTACTTCCAGATTTCAGCTCGCACTTGTCACATGCGAAATCTTTGCGACCTTTATGGACTGTCTTTTGGTGAACGATCAAAGTGCTTCGATATCCAAATTTCTTCTCGCACCAGTCGCATGCGAAATCTTTTCGACCATCATGGACTGTGTTTTGGTGTATAAGCAAAGACCTTTTAAGTCCAAATTTCTTTTCGCACTTATCGCATAGAAAATCTTTGCGACCCTCGTGGACTATCTTCTGGTGCTTTATCAAATTAGATTTTTGTCCGAATTTCTTCTCGCACTTGTTGCATGCAAAATCTTTGCGACCTTCGTGTACTGTTTTTTGGTGCTGAATCATCATCCATTTTAGTCCAAATTTCTTCCCACACATGTCGCATAGGAATTCTCGCACTTCGTGGATTGTTTTTTGATGACAGAGCAAATTCGACTTCAGTCCAAATTTCTTCTCGCACTTGTCGCATGCGTAATCTTTTCGTTCATTGTGAATTGTGTCCCGGTGTGCTATCATGCTGGATTCTAGTGTAAATGATTCCTTACATATATCACTAAGGTATTGTTTTTCATCTGAAATAACAAAGTCGTGTTCACTTGAGTTATCTTTTGTGATAACTTTTTCAATTTTATCTCCACGTTTATCCATTTTGGTGCTTGACTAAAACGATAGTTCAGTCAATATAGTACCACGTTAATTGAATGAGTAAAATTTATCTTTGATACAAATATGGCTCAGAGCTTGTTTCGCAGGAAAAGGTATACATACTAATTTGAGTTAACTATCAACATGATCAGTGTGTCGAGAGACTATGTCAAAGTCGTTTATATGATCATATTGTTTACAATTATGTTACCCACTTATCTATTTATAAGTTATCCTTATGACTTTTGAAATAAAAATTATATACAACCGTTTGATGAAAACAAATAGCACATTTTTCTCAGGTTACGTGACTTTTCAACTCACTCATAATCGATCGTAAATGCTGAAAACTGATCAAAAACGCTTATCAAAAGGCTTTTTCCTCTGACACATGGACACATATGAGATAAATCGCCTTAAACAGTCAAGTCGAGTTTTAATATTAAAATTAATTTTTGGGAATTTTTCAATTACAATACTAAAAAGAAAAGGAAAAAAGTCGATCGATCTTTATATGTGTTATTTTTTTTTTAGAGTCGTGTAAGCGTTGGTTAGTGAGCTAAAGATATAACACTTCGGGCCAAAAATCCGGCAATTGTGCGGGGTGGAGGTCTTATGCTGGAAGCACTAATTGTAGAATTAAGCACTCATGATTGAAACGAGAGTATAAAAAATTGTAAATAATCTTGATGAGTACCAGTTCATTTTCTAAAATCTAAAGACCAATCACAACGCGGTTATTTTGAGGACAAAATCGAGTTATCACTTTTATAAGAGTAGAGTATAGTTAAAGGTTATTATATGTAATTGCTGATTGACGTATGTAGTTATTTTACTCTCATTTGTAGCCCTATATTGACCAATTGAACTTCGTTTCTAGAATAAAAAGTGTCGTGACATAATGAACTGGGTTGGAGGGGGTTCAAATATGTATTTCTCCTTTGCGGGAGTTGTTCATCTGGGGACATGCAGTTTTCACTCGTTTCAATGACATGCGAGTATATTCGAAACATCACAGTACAGTACATTAATTGCGTTGTACGGCAAGTTGTCGGTGGAAGGGGAAAGTAGCGCCGCAGGAGCTGTCACAATTGCGAGATCACCTCACTCAAATGTATTGAAAACTTACTGCGTTCAGCTGGTAAATTTCTGCTCTAAGCAAGTGCTTACGTAATCTAAGTACAGTGTTGGCTACTCGAGGTGTAATTTAACCTCAATTTATATCGTCAAAATCTAGTGAATACATGTATTGAAACAAGATATGGAAAGCAGCGAGAACATAGTTAGGTACCTGACTATTATTAATGCATGCCATGATATTTTTTCAAAAGATCGCTTCGTCAAACTTAATTATTCATTAGGGTGAAGCATGAGCCAAATGATACTTGGACCTATACAGGCAACGATTATATTCTCGATGCGGTGGACTCTGTTTTTGTCGAAGCAGAAAACATTGAAACAATTCCGTTTTATGAAACACCAGTGAGTTTCAAAGATGTAAAAACTGAACTCGAGTCTTTAGCGACGACCACCAGCCAAACTGAGTATCAAAATTTTCAACTTATTGTAAAAAAAGAATACAAAAATGAGGTTGATGACGTCAATGAAAATATATTCATCGATTTTGAGTGCAAACATTTAAAAGTTGAACTGACTTCTCCATCACCCACCATCTGCAAAACTGAGTGTCAAAGTGAACACTCAAATCAGATTAATGATTTTAAAGGTAAAAATCTCGCGATTTTCTTTAAAAAAACTCGATAATGATAATAATTTGTAATTTCTAGACAATTTTAAACTTGGAGAATTCGAGAAGGCAAAAACAGTTGATAAAAGAGCTCGAATAACATTATCTCAAAATTGTAATTTGCTTCGAAGAACGTATGAAAAAGAAGCGAGTCCAAAAAGACTGATCAAGATGACACATAAAACCGTTAGACCATATGAATGCGAAATTTGCCACAAATCATTTGGACCCAGAGGTAACATCAAAAGACATATGAATGCAGTACATGATCAAAGCAAACCCTTTGAATGTGAGATTTGTCATAAATCATTTGGCCGCAAGGATCGCCTTAAATCTCACTTAACTGCAGTACATTATCTTAGCAAACCCTTTGAATGTGAGATTTGTCAGAAATCATTTGGATACCAGCATACATTAAAAGGTCATATAAACGCAGTACATTTTCGAAGTAAAGCCTTCGAATGTGAGATTTGTCATAAATCATTTGGACGAAAATGGGACCTCGAATCTCACATAAGAGTAGTACATGATCATAGAAAACTATTTGAGTGTGAAATTTGTCATAAATCATATGGACAAAAAAATAACCTCAATGTTCACAAAAATGCAGTACATAATCGGAGCAAACCCTTCGAATGTGATATTTGTCAAAAATCATTTGGATACCAGCATACATTAAAAGGTCATATAAACGAAGTACATTTTCGAAGTAAAGCCTTTGAATGTGAGATTTGTCATAAATCATTTACACGAAAATGTAACCTCGAATCTCACATAAGAGTAGTACATGATCATAGAAAACTATTTGAGTGCGAAATTTGTCACAAATCATTTGAACGGAATCATCGCCTCGAATCGCACATAAAAGTAGTACATGATCGTAATAAACCCTTTGAATGCGAGATTTGTCACAAAACATTTTCAGGAAAGGGTAATCTTAATAGACACTTCAAAAGATTCAAATCTCACGTAAATGCATAAATTTACAATTTAATTACACCATCGTAAAAGCCAATCGAATGCAAGAATGGTTTCAAGTCATTTAAACACAATGAAGATTTATACACGCCCACAAATAAATATACTCTGGAAAATCTTTCACATGAATATTTTTTAATTTTGTGAAGAGCAATAAAAAATTTCGAACTGTTACTAATTTTGTCGTGATTGCGAAAATCTTCCTCTAACGTTTTATTCATAAACTTGAATATCAACAAAATTTCGTCTTCACTTCAATCTTTGAAGGACTGTTGTTAAACCGAATTTTCAAGATTAAAATTATTAATTAAACTTCATCACAAATATCTGCTCCCTATTGGTATGCAAGTAGAAAAGCCTAATTTTAAAGTACTAATTATTCATTAAGCATCGCCTGACAACCTCAACAACTAATTTTCATACACTCGGAAGATCGAACACCACTGCAATCGTGTAATTTAAAAAGTCATATAACAATTTTACTAATAATGTATTAATTCATACCTCATAAGCCACCATGCAATGCGCTTCGAATGCCCAAAATATGTATTAGCCCGAAACGCGCGCCCCCATATAAATTCCAAGGACTAATCACACTAATTTATTTCGAGGAAACGATTTTTTTACAAGTATCAATTAAACTTATAATTTTTAGGAAATCACGTACAAGAAAATGTACTAAATTAATTGTGTTCAATCAATTTCGTGACTTGCATCATTGCGCGAGGTTCATAAAAAGTATAGTAGTCAATTTAATCCCATACTCGTCCCATATACATCTTCAAATATTATAAAGTACAAATAAGACATAATCATATGCAAAAAATATTTTAGAAATGTTCGGGCCTTTTTGACCCTTCATTAGAGGCCCAAAGTTAGCCATTTTAGCACTTTTCTGAAATTCATCAATAATTGCAAATATTTAAATAATTCCTAGCTCCGTGTAGAGTAACTCAAACTTGTTTGTTGCAATTTCACGCATTTTGGGTCATTTTTCGACGTGTGTTGCACACATTTCGAAACTCAATGATATCTACAGTCCATTAAACTTTGAAGTTCATTACAAAACTTTATCATGTAATAGTCGACATCTACAGAAAGCTATTCAAATAGTTTTAGAAATGAAATCCGGGTCTAACTCGACTAAATTTTAACTTTTTTTTTGTTTTATTTATTTCTATTTTACAAGCTTCTAGAGTACTCAGATCACTTTGGAACATATTTTTCTGAAAATTTGGACAATTTCTAACGAAAAAGCTCATTGTCGCTTTTACATTTGAGTTATTCTACATCGATCATGGAATTATTCAAATATTTGCGATTTTTAATGAATTTCGGAAAAATGCTGAAATGTCCAACTTTAGGCACCTAAAAAAGGGTCGTAGAAGGCCTAAAATTTTTTTGGAACAGTCTGACATCGGACAAATATTTTTTCATAATTGCAGAAATAAAATCTTTTGGTGATTCGAATTCATTCAGAATCGGCCATGTATAATTTTTTGTATTTTTGTCTTTTATCTTCCCTAAGTCACGGCTATTCAGTGCCATTACTTGCGTCAATTACATCATAGAGTACTATTATGTCTTTAATTAAAATATTTTCATTTGAATTAGCTCATAAGATTGAATTTTTATCTTTTTAGATAATGATAAGGTTTTTGAGAGAGCAGTTTGCAAATTTTCGCTCCGAATCGTATTATAGAACGCCGCAGTGGCGCGCGATTTAGAGTATGGTGATAAGTACAAAATATGACAAATCTTCTTATCTTTCGATGACCTTAGAGTGTGTGTGAATATTAAGATCTACTGATCAGCATACATGATACATTATTTATTAACCCATGAATTTTTCTCCAAACTAAATAATCAGTCTTGTAAGTCGGGAATTTGCACAATTTGTCATTTCGGCTACGATTTCTTTTTCTACTTTTTTCATTCGTGTTGACGCAATAGTACTAACTGACGTCTTTTTCTCTCTCTCTTATATATTTAATGCGAAATATGTAAGTAACATTCAATAAAAAATGAGCATTTTTTGATAATAAATAAATAAATAAATAAATAAATAAATATCCATAGCAAAAAATCACGTTTTGACTCGTTAATCACTGTACTTGATTGGATAATTCAATTCTTTCAATTCGCATTTCAATTCAAGCTTTCAATTCGAATTACTTTACAAAATTTTAAAAAGATCACTTGAATCATAAATCCAAATTTTTTCAAATTGCTATTTAGGTAAACTTGGTATACAACATATCTTATTTTCGTATGCGAATATTTTTCAGGGAAAATTAATATTAACTACTATTGTAGTTATTTGTAGTTTCGTTTGTAATTTTAAAAATTTGCATGTGAAAGTGAACATTTTCGTGTACGTATTTTTCACCTCAATATTTATGAAAAAAATAAGGAAAAACAAGTCGAACTTGTAAAAGTATTGGTAGGATTTTGAAATTAAGTACACAATTATTGTCATTTAATTTGGCTATGAATTTTTCGGAATTTATTCCAGGAGTTATTAAGTACATTTAGTAAAAGTAGAAAATTACAGTATAAAAAAAAAAAAAAGAATTACACATTTTATTTTAAATTAAGCAATAGAATAATCAATAACAATTGAATCGAATACGAACTCTCAATACATACATTATTATTTACATTATTAAAAATATTCCATTGCTAACATGTTGTAAGGATAGTTTGCTTTTCATTTCTTTTTTCTAAATATCTTTAAAATCTTTCGGTTCGAAGCACTTCGATTGGAACTTCGTAATAGACCGATCTTCAATTGCAATCTTGATGCAATCGAAGCTCACGCAATAATTGCCTTGACCATCTCTGAAAATTTTTTCATACTCCGAATGCCCACGGCACCTCATATCGGTATTCACAAACTGTTTGGGTTTCCCGTCCAAACCGATTTTCACTAGTTGCTTGTCATTCGAGGTGTAGTATCTATCGCCGATATCGGACACTGTGAAGATCAAAAATCCTTCGCCGCTCGGCAAATTGTACATAGACTGTGTTTCGTAGGGATTGACGATCAAACTGACTGAAAACCAGTTGATCTCTTCGTCATCGGGCTTGAACTGGGTGCATTTAAGGGTCGTGTTCTCCGCGGCGCATAATCCGATCAATCCATTGTCCAAGGAGAACTTAGTCAACGTCCGAATTAAAAAGTGAGTTAAATTGCGTCTTCGACCTGGAAGTGTGAAAAATGTCTTATTAGTGTTAATGTAAATCCCGAAAATCAAAACATGTTTCTTTATCAATTACCGTTCGGCTGAATAAGAGATATAGCCATTCCTGAATAAGATCTATCGGGCGCATCGAATGATTCAATAAGCAAATAGCCCTTGTCTTCCGACAATGGTAACATAAACCTGCTCCCTTTGTCCCAAATGGTGATTGGGTCAGCGAGCCGCGAATTATCTACCTCCGAAGCATCTCCTTCAGCATTGATCGAATATTTATTAATGCTCATCGAGTCAAATAAAATAACTTCAAAATCATCTTCTTCTTTGAAACTGTTACCACTGATAACCCTACTTTGAAGAGGTGAATAATCATAATATGGCATAATTTTTTCAATATCAATGTCTTCCGGAAGTGTGGTCGTTTTGACTTTGCAATCGGAAAAATTGACGATACTGAATCTCAAGCGATACGTCCTCCGGCTCCCATGCTTTTCCGTTTGCTCCATCCAACAAAGGATCGCTCGATCCTTGCCCATAGGAGCGATACCTATTTCGGGCCCCCAGATGTGGCTGTCGGACTCGGGGTGCAGCTCAACGATGCACTTGTCATCCTTAATCGGGCCGCCTTCTGAGAAGCTATTCTGTACTCGGTGCACAAGGCACTTCTTCGGTTCGGCGTGATATTTGCACGAGCTGTAATAGACGAAACTGGTGTTTCCGAAGGACCACTCGGCGTACGCTGTATAGCTCGGGCCATCGGCGTCGACTTCGAACGATAAATTCCGTTGGGCGCTCGCTGGCGAAACCGAGCCGAGTAAGATTACGCCGTTCAGAGCCGCGACGACCGCGCAAAACTTCGCGAATGTCGTCATCGTTGTTGGATATAACGCGTACGCTGCTCTTCGCTCGGCGCTAGCCAAAAATATACTGGGCTCCTTATCTTTTTTGCCTTGATTTTATATTCGTTGCAACGGAGAAAAAGAACCTGCGTATTTGGGTATACGGCATAAGTGATTTACGAAAGAAATAATTATCATACTTGATAGTTGATATTTTTTGACAAGCTAATTTTTCGCACTCATTTTTGATTTTTGTTTCATGTAAGTACTGTTAGTAAAATGAAAGGTTATCAGCTTTATCATTCATTTTGTAACGTTTTTTTTTTTTTCGAAAAATCGAATGGTGTTATGGATTTTAGCTTAAAAATTTTTTTTGCAAAAAAAAAGGAAAACTCCCCTTTCAGTAATAAATCTCTGTCTACAGAAACATAATTATTCGAGGCGATATCCTCGCAAACGTGGGAAAAATAGAGTAATGGGTAATTTTTGCGTCATTCCCTCCGGAAGAACACCCGGAATGTGGAGGCCAATCTTGCTTTTGAGTTATCCCGCACCAATTTATTTAAATCGATTTTTTGAACAAATAAAGAAATTTTAAAAATTTTTGCCTAAAACCTCTTTTTTTAACAAAATTTACCTAAAGTTGTATTTTGGCCTTTCGATGAATATATTACAATTCTCGCCTATTCGCTGAAGACGAACAACTTTATTTTTGGACTTTTATGTTATTTTTCCATTTTTAAAGGATTTTTAGGCTATGAATATGATTTTTGAGTAAAAATTTAAATTCCTTATTAAATTTTACACAAAAAACATGATTCAACCATTTTTTCAAAATCACCCCAGAAAAGTAGAATTAAATTTAAAATTTGAATATCCAACTTTGAGCTCCTATAAACCCTTGAAGGATGGACCTAGACGGCTAAGATTTTTAGCATTTTCATTTTTCAATGTAATCTTTAAGAGTACATAGTTAGTTGAAATTCGATTTTTGAGCTATCAACTCTTTTATGATATGAACCCGCATATATATTGATATATTGATATATATTAATATATTGATATATGTTGATATATTGATATTTTCGATATATTCAATATATTGATATATTCGATATATTTGATATGTGTTTGAGATCGTACGTTTTTGATGAAAGGTACTTGTAAAACAATCCTGTTTCATCTGCATTAAAAATATTTTTTGGCTTGTATTCTTTTAAAATGTGATTACACTACCACTGTCTTCGCATAATTAATTGAACTCATCATCATTTTGAATTACCAAAGTAAATTTATATGGTATAGCGACTCTAAATGCAAAATTTCATTTCGAATTATCAAAATTTTGAGTTATGATATTGTTCGAATTATTGAGAATTTCGAATTATCGAAATTTTACTGTAAATTATTTGGAAGGAGCAATAAAAGAAGTTAGATACAAGCATTTTTCAAATGAAATGGATATATCATAATTTATAACTTGTATTGTTGAGATTATAGTTAGACGGCTGGAGACGTCGTGGCACAGAAACAGAGGACACTGAGATGAGACCCGCACTGGTCAGAGTCGCGGACAAGATTGATTAAAATTTTCAGTTGGAAAGAATCAGTTACAAGATCTTCGATGTGTAGTTTTACGTTAGCAACAGTTTCGGCGGCTTAAAAAACTATGGAAACTCTCTTTCCGTGAGATTTGCGTCTTTGTCTTCGTCTTGGTGACGCGAGTAGCCTGCAACTCGTCAATCGACACATAAGTTGTTATTCGAACTCTGAACTTCTAGATCGTTCGATTTCATTTTCTATTGTGTTTTCTATTTTATTTAATAGCAGAAAAGAAGATTGATGTTCATAATAAATAAAACCGCTGCCAATTTATTGGCAAAGTGCTTCCTCATAAAAAATTATACTAATGAAAGGGTTTGGTTATTGAAGGGGAAATTCGTATTTCATTTTTAAATTTTAAATTCCGCTCTCTTTAAGGGGGGGGGGGGGGGGGGGGGGGNGATTTTTTAAAATTTTTTCAATTTTTTTTTCAAGTAAAAAAAAAAAAAAATTATTTCTTCAATGTACATGTGAAAGTACATGACTTCAAGAGTATTTTGTGAAAATTTCATAAAAAAATTTTCATTTTTGGACCTTTGAGAACAAACCTACTGAAAAGTCGTGAAAATTCTGGTGAGGAACGTAACTTTTCACAGAATCATCTGAATCGAAAAATGCAAAATTACCTCATTAGTTTATGTGTTTTATCAGGTACTGACGTAGAGTTTTTTTAATTATAGTGATTTTTCGAATTTTGACGTAATTTTGAAGTTGAAAAAAACGTTAAAATTGCGTCCAGACATGAAAAATCGACCTTTTTTTTCGAAAAAGTTGTTATAAACAAAAAAATTTTCGGAAAAATCGAAATATCTCGATGTCAGTACCTGCTCAAAGGGTTTATAAAGAACTGTGCAAATTTTCAAAAGGATCGGTTGAATACTTTTTGAGTGACGTTCCTCACCGATTTGAAAAATGTCATTTCGAGGAATCGCAATCGTTGCATCAAAGATACAACATTATACGTCAAGATTTTTCGAATCGGTGAGGAACGTCACTCAAAAAGTATTCAACCGATCCTTTTGAAAATTTGCACAGTTCTTTATAAACCCTTTGAGCAGGTACTGACGTAGAGATACTTCGATTTTTCCGAAAATTTTTTCATTTATAACGAATTTTCTGAACAAAATGAATTGACGTGAAATGCCACAGATGGCATATAGTAATCGAATTAAAAGTTCAATATTTTCGTCAATTGTGCTCAGATTTGGCTGAAATTTTCACAGAATACTCTTGAAAGTATAAACAATCAAATAAAACAATAAAAAAAATATCAAAATTTTTCGAGGTCAGGACCATACCCCCCCTTAATGCATATACGAAACTCCTTAAAAACTTAGAGATTTTCTAGAATTTCGTGTAAGATTACCTTGCTACCGAATTACTACACTACGCTTCAAAATATATAAACCAAATTGTCCTACGAGGTCTGGTTCAAAATCTCGTTTTCGAGCTTATCACAGAGCAATAAATAATAAGTTTTAAATTAAAAGTATAGTTTGTAATACATAAGGAATAGTTTTCTATCGCCAGCGAGTCATCTCATCTTAATTGCATCGTTGACAATTGAAACGTTGGGAGAAGGATCTGGGTTTTTGATTATACTCATTAATAAATTATTTATAAGTGTGCAATTATTGCAGTTACTAATACGTAAACAATAACGTAAAAAATTTTTTTCGCAGTAAAATCAGAATCAATGCGCGTGAGAACATTGAATCTTCGACGGTTGCACCGGGGGCCATGTGGTTTAGCTTCATTTTGACAGACCCAGGATTCAAAATATTTCGTTTTCCGTCCTAATTTTGTAAATATAGGGTTGCCTATTTTCTGGGGCTTGTGGGTTTTTGATTTTGTAAAATATATCGCATTTTTAGAGGTCATATCACACTACTATCACAGGTGAGACAATGGAACTCGCATATTGCTCTGCATGAACAGTTAAGCACACTTATTTTTTCATTTTTGCCTAAATTTAAGTCATAAAATTACTGTTTGAGACTCACGTATGAGTTCAATCATTTCACCCGCGGTCCATTCGAGTTCTGAAGAAGTGTACGCGACTCTGGTGCAGAAAGCTCCATCGGTACACTCTGAATATTACGACAGGTGACCAAAAACACGACTTTCCAGAAAACGCAAAAGAAAAAAATTTAACATGTGTAGTAGACCGGGTCGTTTTTGCAAAAATTTTTTGTATCGCCTGGGCTCATGGCTGAGCTAAAAGTTCAAGGTTTCAGATGAAAAAAGCCGGGCTGCAGAAGTCAAAAAAGTGACCGGAACCGGTGTCGATAGGCTTTTGAAGTTTAAAAACGTGCTTCGGAAATTTAGCAAAATCGCTCTGAAAATGGCAATCATATATTAGATTGCTAACATTGTTCAGAAGGTAAAATTAATGTCGATAAGACGTTTTCTTACGTATTTTTGTGTGTAGAATCGAATTCCCTAGTCAGTTTTGACCTAGGAGGACGATTTCATTGAAAAAAATGCACTTTTTCGATATCTTTATTCTGCGTAAAAAACAAAAAATCGTCTTGTAAACGTTTAAAAATGAACAGAAAAAATTTAGAAAATTTTTTGACACTGCTAAAATTTAGGATTTTTTATGACGAATCCAATGGTATAAATTAGTATACACTTTGAAATTATTTTAATGCAGAAAAATACATCTTTATCCCAAAAAACGACATTACGAAAAATTGAAAAATCGAAAAGTGTATTAGTTTCTTCCAGGAAATGGCTAAGTAGAATCAACTATGGAAAAAATTGCACAAAACTATCTGATAGGTTTTTTTCTCACCTTTCCAACGCCGGTTTCAGAAGTTAAAAATTCGCAAGATTCGCTGAGATACAGCGATTTTTGTACGATACGTTTTTTTAGCTTAAGATTCAACAATCGAAAAAGCTTGTTTTTCGATGAATGTAGTTAGCTCAGAATTATTGAGTTTTAAGCTAAAAAAACGTATCGTACAAAAATCGCTGTATCTCAGCGAATCTTGCGAATTTTTAACTTCTGAAACCGGCGTTGGAAAGGTGAGAAAAAAACCTATCAGATAGTTTTGTGCAATTTTTTCCATAGTTGATTCTACTTAGCCATTTCCTGGAAGAAACTAATACACTTTTCGATTTTTCAATTTTTCGTAATGTCGTTTTTTGGGATAAAGATGTATTTTTCTGCATTAAAATAATTTCAAAGTGTATACTAATTTATACCATTGGATTCGTCATAAAAAATCCTAAATTTTAGCAGTGTCAAAAAATTTTCTAAATTTTTTCTGTTCATTTTTAAACGTTTACAAGACGATTTTTTGTTTTTTACGCAGAATAAAGATATCGAAAAAGTGCATTTTTTTCAATGAAATCGTCCTCCTAGGTCAAAACTGACTAGGGAATTCGATTCTACACACAAAAATACGTAAGAAAACGTCTTGTCGACATAAATTTTACCTTCTGAACAATGTTAGCAATCTAACATATGATTGCCATTTTCAGAGCGATTTTGCTAAATTTCCGAAGCACGTTTTTAAACTTCAAAAGCCTATCGACACCGGTTCCGGTCACTTTTTTGACTTCTGCAGCCCGGTTTTTTTCATTTGAAACCTTGAACTTTTAGCTCAGCCATGAGCCCAGGCGATACAAAAAATTTTTGCAAAAACGACCTGGTCTAATGTGTAGTATAGGAAAAAGGCTCACGGAAATAGCTATAATTCAGTACAGAATCAACATTTTGGAGTTTTGAATAATGCAATGAAAAGAGGAGGAAAAATCCTACTCAAATAGTTAAGTTTGTAACAAGGTTAATCATATAAATATTCCAGAGGCTCATAGAATGGGTTCACTTTTTTTATTAAGCGTTAAGAAAAATTAAGAATAAAAACAATATCCACTTAAAATTATCCAATCCTGAAAACGTATTGGTTTGAATCGTGATCGAGATCTGCAACAACCTCGGCTCGATTCTGGCCCTCGTCGTCGTCCTGAGCGATAATCACTGCCGACGTAATCTCTTCCGGTTTTGGATCGGACTCGATCGCGATCCATCTTCGTTTTTCTGCGGTCGCTTAAGATGTAGATGTTCGCTCCTTCGCGTTGGCAACGGAAGTACAAGACTTTTTTCAGTTGTCTGCTCGCACAAACGCAGTATATCCTTGTCACTCATGTGCTCGGCAATTCCGCGACAAACTGTATAAGGTAGATTCAATTTGCAATAATCTGTCATAAATAGATCAGCCGCAAATAATTCCAAATGCAGCCTTATGAAAATGTTGGCCAAGTGTCTTTTTACAATGATGTTTATATCGGTACACAAAATTTTATCCATTGATGGAAGACTCCAATTCTTCATATTTTTCAATGTTGAGTAACCCCTACTGTAATTCATTTGGCAAACTTGATAGAGTGAGACGTCTTCCGTTAACATAATCTCTTTTGTTCTCGCAATTTCAGACGCATACATATCAATTCGGCATTGAAAAGGTTGCATTTCGTTCCAGTAATCTGGCTGATTCGGTACGAGGATCTTGCATTGTTCATGCAAGAAATTTTCAGCTTTTCGTTCTATATAAAAATTGAAATTACGATAAATAAATAAGCCATACACAATCTGCTCGGCATCGGCCACGGTAACGTCCTCGTTATAGGCCTCTGTATCGGCCTCTGTATTTTTAAAATCTAAATGAAAGAAAACATAAATTAACCATTATAAATTAAAACTATTTCGAGGGGTCTACCCTTTCGGTCTATTATTAGGATTAAGCCAGCTAGACTTAAAAAATTTTTATACAAAAATTTTAAAAAAATGTTGTACAGAAACGTTGAAAAATGGCTTTGTTTCTTGTAATTTTTCGAAATATATCTGCTATTTGGTCAATTTTTCAATGATCAAAAATCATTTTTTATGTAGTTCGAGAGTGTATTCATTGAGTGTAATATTTTCGATATCAATTTTCACGATTCTAGTTCACGTAAAAAAAATCATTGGAATCAACCTTTTATTTCGCTCCACCGAGTGGGTAGACCCTAATATTTTACAGTTAAAATGCATTGACTTACCTGAATAAATGCTGGTAAGATGGTCAGTATCGTTCCCTCTCACTCTCATCCAACATTTAAGCATCCTAAGCCTAGTAAGCAAGTCTATTTTGTAGCCAGCTGACTGCAATAATTGTAGCATTTGTATAATGTTCAAAGTCAGAGGATAGCTTTTCAATTCGATACGTTTGAACTCCCAGCTGAACATTCTGTCTTCGTTCAAACTGCTTAGACTCGCACCGAATTTCAATAGTGCCCGCGTTAAATCTACGTTAAAACGAGAGACCGACATTTGAAGAGCAGTGTCCCCATGACGATTTCGTATCTCGATATTCGCTCCATGTTCAACGAGCATTTGAACTATCTTCTCAACGGGTTTTCTCTTATCGCAATATCTTAAGTCGATTGCGCATTCGCACACACGTACCCACGAGAGTGCATGCAAAGGTGTCGACTGTTCAACATCTAGCTGGTTTGGATTGGCTCCATTTTTTAATAACATTTCTACTACATCTTCGTGTCTGTACCAGACAGCTATGTGCAACGGCGAGTACTTGTATGAATTGAGATTGATGTCTATGCCACGACTTAATAATTTGTGCACTATCATCTTCTTGCCCGTCACGCAGGCTGCGTGAAAGTACGTATATCCTTGATTGTCATGGTAGTTTTTACGTGAATTTTCCAAAAAAAACTCCATGAGATTTAGTTTTTTTTCTTTTTTTATATTATAAAAGTCCTGTCCCCACATGAAATCAGCCAAGTAATGAACTGCAGACTTTCCATCTTTTAACACAAATTTGTGTATTTTAAACTTAATTTCTTTGAGCAGTTTTATTTCTTCGATGCTGCCTTCGTTTAAAGCTTTGTAGAAGAAATAACTTTTATCCAAGATACTCGGAAACAGGCGTTTAGATTTCCACAAATATTTCAACAAAAGTCTGTCTTCTGAATGGCCATTCTCTCGCGCTTCACGAGATAATAATAGGTAAAATGCTTCGCCTCGATCTTGCATTTTTTTATAACTTTTCAAATATTTTTTTAATTCTCGCAGGCAAGATCTATCGTCATTATTTAACGACATTTTAAATTGAGTGGTTAGAAAATCAATTTCCTTGATGAAAAATATCGAATCTAGCACTGCACACTGAAAAATAAATACTGAACACTGCAATCACGTGGTGAATATGCTACTATACCGCACTAACGCTCGAATGAGAGAGAGAAAGTTAGCGGCCGATCACTTGTGTCATCGTCCGACCACGTGTTGGACGCGAGAGAGGCAAGTGAGCGCAACATATTGGGAGTTGAGATGGAGGCGGGCCAGTGCTCTCAAATCTGGCACCTACTGAAAGCGCGTAATTCAAATTGGTGTAAAAAAATATACAAAAATTATAATGAAATAATTTTTTTTTCTTTTTCATGGCTCATGAGAAATAATATGAATGAGTAATATAACATAAAATCATTTTAATATGATGAATGATTTAAGACCGATTTTTCGATTACGTTTCGTTAACAAATTTCGAGAAAGTGTAATTTTGTCGCAGAATGTAAACTGAATAATTTTAATGTAAAAATAATAACGACATTATAACCGCTAACTCATACTGTTTTTCTGATTATACATATGGCTGATTCATTATCAACTCAATCGGTCAAAATTTTTTTACATCTAATATGATGAATGTTTGGTACGTCAGAAATGTTTCAAAAATTCTTTAGAACGTTCAGAGCCTGTTTTAGAGACTCAAAATTTGAATTTTTCCGAAATTTATTAAATGTCGCAATGATCATCTGATGAGAGATTACAAAGCATGTGAAAGATTTTTAAGTTTACGATGTTCAGCGTTATAATTAAAAAACAATCAGTGTCAAAAACAAAGCAAAGCAATAAAATGAAAGATAAATTCACGAGAAACTCATGATTATCATACAGTTATTTCATACATACAGGTATATCATACATGAAATCATCTACTTTTATTTTAAATAAATATAAATAAGATTTTGTCGAACCCGGTCCAAATTATTTCGAGAGTCAATAAATTGTTAGATTTTCTTTTGACTTTCGACTTGATGAAAAGGTACTAAGTACGTTAATTTGTTATTAAGCGAGTATTGTTTTGGTTTTTAAGCAATTGCATTTATTGGTGGAAATTGTATCTTATTTATTACATAAGTTTATCTTAATAACATAAGTATCTTAAAAAACTTGAAGTTTGATACAGTACATGATTTTTTCTTGCACTTGTCGCCTGTAAAATCTTAATAAACTTCGTGGACTTTTTTTTGGTGTCTTCTTAAATTGTGTTGAAGCCCAAATTTTTTCTCACACTTATCACATGCGTAATCTTTCCAATCGTCATGGACTGACTTATGATGGAATAATAAATGTTGTTTCATTCCAAATCTCTTCTCGCACTTGTCGCATTCATAATCTTTGCGACCTTCGTGGACTGTTTTTTGGTGCACGATCAAATTACTTTGAATCCCAAATTTCTTTTCACACTTATCGCATGCATAATCTTTGCGACCTTCGTGAATTGTCATTTTGTGTCTCAATAAGTCCGAATTATATCCGAATTTCTTCTGGCATTTGTCACATACAATATCTTTCCGACCCTCGTGCATTGTTTCTTGGTGTTTTATCAAATTCGCTCGATCTCCAAATTTCTTCTGGCATTTGTCGCATACGAAATCTTTGCGATCTTCGTGTGTTGTTATTAGGTGCACAAGCATAGTGAACTTTCGTGCAAATTTCTTGTCACAATTATCGCATTTAAAATCTTTGCGACCTTCATGTATTGTCCTCTGGTGAAAGAGCAATTGCGATTTTTGTCCGAATTTCTTCTCGCACTTGTCGCATGCATAATCTTTGCGACCTTCGTGAACTGTCTTTTGGTGGAGAAACAAATGAGATTTTCGAACAAACTTCTTTTCACACTTGTTACATGTAAAATCTTTCTGATCGCCGTTAACTGTTTTTCGAAGCTTCATCAAATTGCTTTGATCTCCAAATTTTTTCTCGTGCTCGTCACGTATGTAATTTTTGCGACCTTCGTGAACTATCTTTTGATGTAAACGCAAATTCTGTCTTGATCCAAAATTTTTTCCGCACTTGTCGCATGCATAATCTTTGCAATTATCGTGAACCATCTTTTGGTGTCTGATCAAATTCGATTTTAGTCCAAATTTCTTATCGCATTTTTCGCATGCGTAATCTTTGCGACCTTCGTGGACTGCTTTTTGGTGAAAGAACAAATACCATTTTTGGCCGAATTTCTTCTCACATTTGTCGCATTCGTAATCTCTGCGACCCTCGTGTATTGTCTTTTGGTGCTTAAACAAATCCGATTTACTTCCAAATTTTTTCTCGCAATGTTCGCATGTGTTATTTTTGCGACCTTCGTGGACTGTTTTTTGGTGAAAGAGCAAATACCATTTTTGTCCGAATTTCTTCTCGCATTTGTCGCATTCGTAATCTCTGCGACCCTCATGTACTGTCTTTTGATGCTTTAACAAATCAGATTTACTTCCAAAATTTGTCTCGAAATTTTTACATGCAAAATCTTTGCGACGTTCGTGTACTGCCTTTATGTGTAAGAGTAAACTCTGTTTATTTCCAAATCTTTTCGCACACTTTTCACACAAGTAATCTTTGAAAACTTCGTGGAATATTTTTTTGTGCTTGAGTAAAGTTGATTTATTTTCAAATTTCCTCTCGCACTTGTTGCACGTGAAATCTTTGCAATCTTTGTGTACTGATTTTTGGTGCGTAAATAAACTCGATGGTTTCACAAATTTTTTCTCGCATTGGTCGCATGGAAAATCTTTGCGGCTTTTGTGCTCTGATATTTGGTGTCTGCTCAAATGACTTCGAAACTCAAATTTTTTTTCGCACTTGTCACATGAGTAATCTTTTCGTTCATTGTGAATTGTGTCTCGGTGTGTTATCATACTTGATTCCAGTGCAAATGCCTCCTGGGAAATATCACAAATATGTAGTTTCTTGTCTGAAACAACATCTTCACTTGAATTATTTTTTGAGACAACTTCCCAGGATTCCTTTTCACTTTTATCCATTTTAGTGTTTGAATTGAACGATGGATCCTACTAATTAGTACTATGGAAACTGATTATAAAATTTATCTTCTGTTATTACGGCTTGCTTCATTGTTCAGGACAACATTCGTACTAATTTCATTTGTACAAGCGACGATGTCGAAATCGTTCATAATCATATTGTTTACATTAAGGTACCGATTTATCTATTTTTACACATCTATCCGATAATAACAATTTTCCTGATTTGTATCATTTAACATTTACGTTTAACGTTTAAATATCTTGCACGATCGCAGAGTCATCTTAGATAGGGTAAATGTCGGCGCTTCAGTAACTTGTATAATAATCGTATATAAGCCTAGTCAAATACATTAATCAAACGTAGCTGGAAATTTAAAACATTCAAAACAGACATAAAATGAATGTAAACCAAATTTTTCTATGTTTCTATTTATCATTTACGGTCTACCCAAAACGGGCCTAAAATAATTTCACTTTGAAAGCATTCAATAAAATCTCCAACTTCTTGAGTTCTTACTGCGAGAATTAACAAAATTTGTTCTCACTGATCATCGAGACAATAATAAAAGCAATAGTCTCGAATAATATGAGACGGCAAATGAATCTTTATTAATTAATTAGCACAAATTATAATTGCGATTATTCTATGGATGAGAATCGATCATTTTTTTCCTCCTCGATGCCGGAACGAGAGAAAATTTTTTTCCGAAATTATAATTCAAATGACGTTCAATGACAAAATCAAGTCATGTCAATGTGAGAATTGCCACAAATCATTTGGGTACAAGAATCTGCTAAAAAAGCACATCATAGATTTACATAATTGTATCAAACCTTATGTGATGTGAGATTTATCTGTAGCGTTGAATGCAATGAAATCAATTACACAAATATGCCACGTTATAATATAAAAAGACTTTCATTTTTATGAAGATCAATTCAATTGTTATACATTTTATTATGACCTATTTCTAACCTTTCCTACGTCAACTGAAATATAAACATGTTTTCATCTTCAATTCTAATAATGAAGTATGAGAGTAGAAAATCTTGACCTGATTATTTTAGATACATAATATTTAGATTGATAAGCAAAGGGAAGATTGAATAACGGCAATCGTCGATAAAAAATGTCGAGTGATTGTTCGATTCTAATCTATTACGTACCGAAAGTACATCTTCGCGTATTATAAATGTGTATTCGCGAATGTAAAATTGTGACTGTGTCGTACATGCATGAACCTCTTACAGATATCGTATGAGAGCAACAATTCGAACAAACAATCAAAACACGAATTGATAGGTACGAGAAATAATTATTTCCAATCAAAAGTATTGACACTTATTTGAACATTGATGAATTCATATTTTTACAAATGAAAAATGATCTTGTGATGTATTTGCTTTTTGGTTTGGACATTAAATAATTTTTCAAAATAACGTAAGATTGTGAAATATTTGTTTATGTAAATTACAAGTAACATTAATTGGTATATAATAAGTAGTATGTAGTAACTTTCAAACTTTCATATTTCGCTCTGTTTTATTCGGTTTTTACGAGTAGAGAGATATCATTGTCGTTATATAAGAAATTCCTGTTTTCATGACCTTAACGGTTTAACAAATCATTAATTAATATGACTAATTAAATATGAACATTATAAATCTTACTATTGCAACTGTTTCAAAATTTAAGAGGATGCCAGGGCCAGCGACCCAACCACAAGGCTTCAACGTTCTTTTCATAGTCATGAGAAAAATTAATCTGGTTTTTGGTTTCAACTGATACCATTCGCTGCCGTAACTGTTACAATAATATATTAGGAAAAAAGTTAAAATTATTATTTATGGGTTATCTTATACCAGGAAAGTCCGACTGCTTCACTAGAGTCAATCAATAATTGACTTGGAAAACAAACAATAGCTAAAGTGAAAATACATGATACGAAACCAATGGCCATTATTGCTGTTTCCATGGTATCTCCCTTTTTAAACTGAGTCACCATCTAAAAGTAATATATTTATAAAAAATGTCATAGCTCTTTAGATTAACATTTGCTTTAAAAAAAAATGTATTCATGTGAACAAAAAAAAGATGAGAG